CAGACGGTCACAGAAGGAATTACAAGAACACGAGGGTTCGTGCGGATAGGTATGTAAGGCGGCGGTCTTTTCAGCCGGCATCTTTTGCCGGTGAGACCATAGGGTCAGGTCGTCAATGATAAGCCGTAGGGTGGTCGAGCCATGATAGTCGATCTTGTTGAAGATCATGGTGTTTCGAGAGGCCCAAATCTTCCACAGGTTGATGAGCAGGACGGTCAACCAGATGGAGTGGTCCAGTCTAGGGGCATTCTGCATGCCCACAAGATTGGTGCGGCGAGGTGGAGTGATGCCGACTCTTTGCCAGATTCAGTGGCGTGCGTGCATTGGATGAAGATGTGAAGGGCATCCTTGGAGGCGTGGCTGCACCTTGGGCATACTGGAGATATGCTTGTGGAGGAGGTTGGCCTTGGAGTTTAGTCTGGTCATGGAACAGCATCCATCCTAAGTTACGCGATTGGTAACCTTGGAGGATTATATTGCCCTAGCATGAGTGTCCACATTGTCTTCAGCCATTATAAGCCGAGCGGGTGGAGAATGGAAAGAGTAAGGACATTATAGGTCCTTAAACTATTTCAGGGGTCTCATGTAGTTCCCGGAACTTTGAAATCATCATCAAGATCCTGGAAGTGTGATTAGTGAATCATCCAGGTCCGAAGCGGCCACGTCATCCTTCCACCGTGCTCGCTCACGCTGCTTGTTTGCAGCTTTGGCCCTAGATGATTCACTAATTGCACTTCCAGGACCGTGATGGTGATTTTTAAAGTTCCAGAACCTATGTGAGACCCCCCGAATTAGTTTAGGAACCTCTAATATGCTTTACTCTATATTCAATGTAGGTGAATATATTCTTAAGAATCAGTGCATGGCCAATGACAGTTTACATCATTGGCTGCCAACGTGTGCAGTATCAAGTGTTGTCTTCCAAACATCTGAAACACTCGGTTTTATAATCTTTCTTGGGTCCTATTAAGTTAACTGAAGCGGTTTCCGCATATGTAGGGCAGCTATAATGTTAAATACTGGATCTTGCCAATTCTTAGAAAATGAAGCTGGATTTTTCAATTGTATCTCATGTTGATCACTTGGTCTCATGCATTGCAGCACACGCACCCTGCTTTTGAGACAGTGATAGAACACCTGCATTGCACGGTCCTCAGTAAATTCAAAAACGATCTAGAACAATTATTGAGGAGTGGTGAGAGATTTGCAGCATCAGCTCGTCATTGTGCCCAGTCTTCATCAGTAGAGTTTGAGGCAGGATGGAGAGGTAAACAAACAACTTCCAGCCTCAAGATTTCTTGGGATGCAACTATCTAGCGCTATTTGACCATTGTTTCCGTGTCATGTGCTTTATTCTTCAGTTAGTCGTTTTTTTTACATGATTAGTGATGTTCCTTTTGATGAATTTGGGTGACCTTGTAACCATATGCAGTAATGCAGTATTGTGAATTTTTTGACAGGAACAGTATTGTGAAAATTGATTTCTCACGTTTTGGTACTGCCTTCATGCTTTTGGTTTCATAATACTGAATGAGCTTTCACCACCCTATTGCACTTTGACTGCAATGAGCTTTTGCATGTTGATCTTGTTGTAAGCACTTTTTTCACGCTTGCTCCCAGTGGCAGTGCCAGCATCCAGACGTTGTGATGTCACGAGGACCTGTGTAGTCAATTTTCCTAATTTGTTTGATCAGCAGTGGTGTACGCATACATGAGGTTCTCCTGTTTGCCAAATTCATGTGTAGTCACTAGACTACACAGCTACAACTTGGCTTTGCCACTGCTTGCTCCTGGGATTGTTATCATCTTCATTTGGGAGGCATGTCTTTATCATCTTGTGTGTGTTTTTAAACGGTAGTGGCTTGTCATAAGCTCTAGTTCTCATGCTTGTTATTATGGCTCATTCAGCTGATATTGAAAACACTAGGCTGCATCGTCTCCTTTAATTGAGATATCGGTCCTATTTTGGAGTGCTCGTACAAGTAGGGTTCACTTCGGACTTGCGCTTCTATTATCGTGGTCATTGCTTGGATGTTGCAAGCTCCTTTGATGTATGGTCTGTGCTTTCATGCATGTTTGTGGTCCCTGCTTGTACTTGCTTAGGTTCTAGTGTTCTGTCTTGGTCGCTGGTTGCCGGCGGGCGTGCCAGGGTTCCTTAGGTCGTTTATTGTTTGTTTTGGTTGCCATGGGCCATGCGATCTTTGGCGCTGTACTTCTATTTCTATCTAATGAATACATGCAGCTCTCCTGCATGGTTTGAATCTCAATATTTTTGACTAGATAAACTATGTATTTTGGTTTTTACTTTGTTGTTCCCATGCAGATGCAGTAGTTAAACATGCAGACTGGGATGCTACAAATAGCAGGAACAAACTGCAGCAGAGTATGGAAGTTCATACAGCATGTTTGAGGATTGCAAAATTGGATGAACTAAAAGCTACTTATAAGGTTATTTTCCTACTCAGTACAGACTC